CAAAAAGGAGTAAGCAACAGCAGGTAAATAATATATTAATCATAAGTCAACACATTTCAATTATAACCATCTATGTAAATGGACTCAATTCACCAATTAAGAGAAAGAGACTGGCACAGTGGATTTGGAAACAAAATCCAACAATATGTTGCGTACAAGAAACACACTTAACTCATAAAGAAATCCATACAGTAGTACGTGCAGAAAAAAGCAGGCATAGCAATCCTGTTCTCAGATAGTCTCAATTTCAAACCAAGAAAAATCAAATGAAATAAAGAAGGCCACTATATTCTGGTTAGGGGAAAAATTCAAGAGGAAGAGATAACACTCATAAATATGCATGCACCAAATACCAGAGGACCCAACTATATAAGACAAATTTTAATGGACATGAAAACTCTAATATCCAATACCACAATCTTAACAGGAGACCTTAACACACCCTTATCCAAAAAAGATAGGTCAACTAGACAAAAAATTAGCAAAGAAGTAGTAGAACTGAACCAGAGCTTGGAAGAAATGGATTTGGTGGACATATACAGAGTGTTCCACCCGAACACAGCTGAATACACATTTTTCTCAGCTGCACATGGATCATTTTCTAAAATAGACCACATACTGGTCCATAGATCATGCTTAAGTATATACAATAAAACAGAAATTATCCCATGCATATTATCTGACCACACTGCAATGAAACTGGGAATAAACGACAAAAGAAATCAGAAAAATCCTAAATACATGGAAATTAAGCACCTTACTCAACAATCAATGAGTTACAGATGAAATTAAAAAAGAAATTCAACAATATCTACAATTAAATGAAAATTCAACCACAACATATTGGAATTTATGGGATGCAATGAAAACAGTTCTCAGTGGCAAATTTATAGCTGTGAACTCACACATTAGGAAAACAGAATGAGAACAAATAAACACTCTAATGCTGCACCTCCAACAACTAGAAAAGGAAGTGCAAACCAAACCCAGAGCCCAAAGATGGAAAGAAATAATGAAGATTAAAGAAGAAATTAATTCAATTGAGAAGAAGAAGACATTTCAAATAATTAACAAATCAAAAATCTGGTTCTTTGAAAGATTAAATAAAATTGTTAAGCCCCTAGCTAACCTCATCAAAAAGAAAGGAAATATTCAAATACACACAATAAGGAATGAAAAGGGTCTATTCACCAAAGACCCAGTGGAAATTCAGAAGATTATCAACAGCTACTTTGAGAATCTTTGCTCTCAGAGAATAGAAGATAGAGAAGAAATGGACAGATTCCTAGAGAGGTACAAATTACCAAAATTGAATCAAGAAGATATAATAACTTTCAATAAGCCAATAACAGTCAATGAAATATAAAATATAATAAAAGTCCTACTGACAAACCAAAGTCCAGATCCTGATGGATACACAGCAGAACTCTATAAGAAATTTATGGAAGATATAATCCCTATACTCCTCAAACTCTTCAATGAAATTGAAAAGGAAACAATTCTCCCAAAATCATTCCTCAAGGCAAGTATTATCTTGATACCAAAAGCAGGGAAAGATGCAAATAAAATAGAGAACCATAGGCCAATCTCCCTCATGAACATAGATGCAAAAATCCTCAATAAAATCCTAGCAAATAGAATACAACAAATCATCAAGAAGATCATACACCATGACCAGGTAGGATGATTCATCCCAGGAATGCAAGGATAGTTCAATATTTGAAAATCTATAAATGCAATACTATATATCAATAGAGTGAAATCTAAAAACCCATGATCATCTCCATTGATGCAGAAAAGGCTTTTGACAAAGCCCAACACTCATTCATGTTCAAAGTCCTACAGAAAATTGCAATAGATGGCCTCTATTTCAATCTGATAAAAGCCATTTATGAAAACCCAATGGTCAGCACAATTCTAAATGAGGAAAACCTGAAATCTTTTATTCTCAGATCTGGTACAATACAAGAATGTCCTTTATCACCCCTCCTCTTCAATATAGCTCTGGAATCATTAGCTACAGCCATTAGACAAGGGAGAGAAATAAAAGGAATAAGAGTAGGTAAAGAACAAGTTAAATTATCATGATTTGCACATGACATGATATTTTACTTGAAGACCCAAAAATCTTCCCCAAGAAGCTAATAGAATTGATACACAAATTCAATAGCACAGCAGGGTACAAAGTCAATACTCAAAAGTCAATGGCATACACAGATAACAAACACACTGAGAGGGAAATTAGAGAAACAATACCTTTTACAATAGCACTGAGGAAAATGAAATACCTTGGAATTAATCTAACTACAGAAGTCAAAGATCTTTTCAAGGAACATTGTAGTAATCTGAGAAAAGATATCATAGAGGATTTTAGAAAATGGAAAGATATTCCCTGCTCTTGGATAGGAAAAACCAACATTGTGAAGATGGCCATACCCCCAAAATTGTTGTACAGATTTCATGCAAGTCCTTTCAAACTACCACCAAAATACCTCCCAGACCTAGAGAAATCATTCCTAAAATTTATTTGGATCCAGAAAAGACCTAGAATAGCAAAGGCAATCCTAGCCAACAAAGACAAGGCAGGAGACATTACAATTCCTGACCTGATATTATACTACAAAGCTAGTGTGATAAACTCAGCATGGTATTGGCAATGAAATAGACCAGAGGATCAGTGGAACAGATTAGAAGGTGCAGAGGCCTCTATGAACACACTCAGCCACCTGATCTTTGACCAACGGTCCAAACACGCTTACTGGAAGAAAGACAGCCTCTTTAACAAATGGTGCTGGAAACACTGGCTCTCTGCATGCTGAAAACTAAAACTTGATGCAGGTCTATCACCATGCACTAAGCTACAGTTAAAACAGATTAAAGATCTAAACATTAAAGCAGAGACTCTAATCTCATGTGTAAAAAGTAGGAAGAACTTTTGAAGGGGTAGGCAAAGAGTTCATGAACAAAAATCAAATCTCACGGGTGATACTTGAAAGAATTAATAACTGGAAACACCTCTTATTGAGAAGTTTTTGCACATCAAAAGAAATTACCAACAAAGTAAAAAGACAACCCACAAATTTGGAAAAAATCTTGACAAATAAGCACTCGGACAAAGGTCTGCTCTCTAGAAATTATAAATAACTAAAAAACTTTAGAGCCCCTAAATTTAAAGACCCAATCCAGACAATGGCATCTGAGATGAATACACACTTCTCAGAGGATGAAATTAAAGAAGTGAATAAATATATGAAGAAATGCTCCACACCATTAACCATCCATGAAATGCAAATTAAAACAACAGTGAGATACCATCTCACCCCAGAAAGAATGACTATCATAAAGAAATCAACCAACAACAAATGTTGGAGAGGCTGTGGGGAAAAGGGAACCCTTCTCCACAGGTGGTGGGAATGTAAACTGGTCAACCATTATGGAAATCAGTGTGGAGACTCTATATACTAAGTCTGGAAATCCCGTTCAAGCCAGCTATCCCCCTACTTGGAATTTTCCTGGAGGAACTGAAAGCGTCATAACTCCTAAAGCCTCTCTCTGATTTCTCTGTCCCATAGAATGTCACCTGGCTCTAACCTTCTATAGGATTTGTATTTGTAACTATTCCTCTGCATTCTTAGTTATATCCTGTTTTGTATTGATATAAAGGTTATCTTTCATTTTCCACAAAGAAAAAGATTTCTAACATATCAGGTAACTGTACAACATTTTGTTTGATCAAATGTTTAAATAATCATTTGTAAAAATTTATATGGACCAATTTTTATTGCTTAACTTTTATAGTTAAATTCCTTTTGGAAATGTAAGATATCAACTTCTTCTGGCACAGAGCAAAACCTGGAGTGACGGAGTAGTATTGAAAATGTATGTTAATCCATTGAAATTGCAGTTTATTAGACAATTTAACATGAAAATGTGCAAATAATATAATTTATGAGCATCTTGTGGGGCAAGAAGTTATTTCCATTATGCAGAAGAGGAAACTAAGAAACAAACTGTCAGTGTTTTGATTTAGTAAAATAGACTGTGGATTCGAAGTCATATTATGCCATAATGATTGATATTTGTGGAAGTCAACATCAATCTATTTAATGTCCAGAGGCTGGGGAGATATCTTGGCTGTCTAAGCATGTGACTGTCAAGTGCAAGGACCCAGGTTCAACCACAGGCACCACATGCCATGCTGGCCCCAGAACCACAGGCACGCAGTGCCAGATACCAAACCAGGCATGGTGGCCCACGCCTGTAATCCCAGTGCTGGGGAGGCTAAACCAAGAGGATCACTATGAGTCTGAGCTGCATAGAGAAACCCTGTACCAAAAGAATAAAGAAATAAAAGATTAAAAATTATTTAACATCTGCTTTGTGGAAGTCATATTACTAAGTACTGAAATGAGTCTTTCTAAAGAACCTGGAAGTATTGAGAAAACACATTTCAAATACATATAATTTAAACATAATATAAGAAGTACATTAAGCAGACATACTTAGAGTGTCACAAAAATATGAATGATGAAACATTATACAAATGTTAAATGTTATATGTAAATTAATCCATGGGTTTACCTGTATTTAAAATATTATCTAGAAGATAATGAAGGTGTTAGGTCAACAGTAAAAGGGCCTAGAAATTAGAACTGTAACACCTATACTAGAGTGCAGAGCACAACTAGCACATGTGTGAGCTCAGTAAAGTTGCACATTTGCTTTTATCTTCACAAATTGCCATGCCAAAAAGGTGAAAACCTTTATAAAGAGAATTACATAGAGTTCTCTTCCTGATAATCTAATCAGTATGAGGAAAAGCTCAGAGAAATAATGTGACTGTGTATTGCAGAATTAACTTGACACAATATTGTCATGTTCACTTTCTGCCTCTTCATGCCCTTACTCAGACCCTGGCAAAAGGCAATTGTGAGGACACTGCTTGGATCAGAGTGTATGTTTTAGTTTCAAGTGTAAAGCAAAGAGCAGAACACTTTGTATTTGTTGTCACGATGTAGTCAGAGAAATGCTTGGCTTTTAGTGTAGCCAAACGTGAACTTCAGAAACGGCATTGCATAGACAAGTATCTGCATCCACATTCCAGTAAGTAGGCTTGCAGTGATGAGGGTGAGGTGAGAAGTGTGGGGCACAGATATGCTCCTGGAGAGACTGTGTAGAGCTGTAGAGATGCTAGGTGACTCTTGAAGCATAGAACAATATGAGCGAGCAACTAAAAAAGGAAGTTGACATGATGGTTGGCCATAAAGAGACTGGGTACGTGAGATCACACAGTACATGGGAGTCTATATTTTCTGCTTAGTTTTGCATGAATTGCTTGTACATAGGAAGACTATTTTTTAAAAATAGCCAATATAAAAGCTCTCTGTTTTGTGTCATGTTTCTTTGCCTTAGTACTATCTTATTAAAAATTATTTTAAATACATATGTGAAACCATGCTGAAGTATTAATATAATAAATTTGAGATGACTCCATGATCTGATTTAGTCTTCTCAATATATTTACTACAAACAATACAAGGTGATGAGACATATGCAAATTAGACAAATCTGATTGCATAGGCAAATTTAATTTAAATTTAAACTGAGGATTTAAAATTATTGTTGGTGGTCTTCTGGTATGGTATTTATTGTCTGCTTACACTGAACTGTTTGTAAACAGACTGTTTCTGCATCATGTTTTCAATAAAATAAAATGACATCGATGAAGCTTGTCATTCATCCATTTGTGATACAGATTTTTAAAACATCAGGATTTAAAAAAGCTTAGTTTTGTTTCTTAATCATGACCTTCACTATTCATACAACTTTGGAAAGGTCCTTATCATCCTCAAGATTCCATTTCCTCCTCTGTGCAAGATAAACAAAGAAGAGACACCCTTTATCTATATTGTAGCAATTTCTCTGGAAATTAAGAGACAGGGAAAGGGTAAGAGGGAGGGAGACAGAGAGAGAAGCAAGGAGAGTGAGGAGAGGAAGACCTACGCTTCTTGAATAATTCACGGAAAACAATGAGAAATTGTCTTTTAATTATATTTTTCTAGTGATTTTATATAATGAGACATGGGGCAAAATGTTGCGCTAAAAAAAGAAAAACAGGAACTCACTTATACCTATTACGTGAAGATCAAATTGGATGATTATCTCATAGGAATTTAATGAAAATATGCTGATCTTTAGCGGATGATCCTGTGTTAATGTCACATTAGTACTGTTCATTTTCCACTATGTTTTGGACACAACTATTTTTAATAATTTTGATATTTTATTACTTTTGTAAGAAAAATTAATTCATCACTGTGTCAATTTTTCTCTACAGAAAAACCTTGGATAATTGGGTAAGTTAATTTTATCTGAAAATATATTACACTAAAAAAACTTCTCTAGTTTTAAATGGAATAAAAACTCTGTAGGAAAAAATATTACAGAATATTGTTGAATTAGTCCAACTGCTTTACTTCAATTTTTCTTTTACTTTCCCTATGCTTCTTGCTATTTACAATGCTTATAATTTCCAGATACTGTGGCTTTTTAAAAAGTAACAATGAAGATTTTAATTAGAATTTAAATTACTCCCTAATCACTTCAACTAATTTTTAGAAAATTTATCCAACTTGAATAAAGTATATTTATTAACATCCTTGAAAAATATCCATTACAGATTTGTACCATTGTGATGAAATACAACCTGAATGAAACAGCCCCCTGGGACTTCCTTTCTCTTGATAAACAAGATGAGCTGCTTTCTTATTTCTGTGAGAAGAAGCAATGTCATTGTCAATATTTGGAGGACAATCAAGAAAGTGCTAATTTTTTTTTTTTTTTTTCAGAACCGGGGATTGAACTCATATGCTTGTGTTTGCCAGTCAAGTGCTTATCCTATTGAGCCATCTCCCCGGCCCCAAGAAAGTGCTAATTTGTTTTAGTGTTTGTACTATCTTGTTCTGATTTGCTATTATCTCAATTTTCTTTTTTAAAATGTTTGTATTTTATCAAAGTTACTTAGACACACAGTTTAATGAGTCAAATACTTTCAATAACCACGTATTTTTTTAAAAAACTGGCTGTCTCTGTACATTGATACTCAATTAATAGTCCCTGTGACAACTTCTTTCAAAATTTCCCCCAATACTTTTATTATTAGTTTATTCATCATTATATGAATGTATTAATCCTATGAAAAAAAAAACCATCATATTATCCCTCCAAACAGCAATCTTAAAGAGCTGACCATAAATATATATGATCTAGAAGCAGTACATCAGATCATGGAATTTCTAAGTATCCTTAATATTAATATTTAATGCTATATTTTCTTAGAAAATATCTACCCTAGGTGGGTTCTTAACAAATACTTAACTATATCAAATATTAATATAATGTAAACATTACCTGGTGTGCATAGGGTACTCATTTACTATTGTATGTTGTTTATTGAAGATCTGTAACATTAGTAAAACCTAAATATAGAGCATAAGAAAAGATCTATATAGAGCATGTAAAAAGATCTATAATCTGAACAATGTCAAGGCGGTAGGAAAGTCAAAGAGAATAAAGAGCATATTGCAATAGATTAATGGTTAGAAAAGGGTAAATTGCAAGATACAAAGTTTGTCTGGTGAAGATTTGTAAAGTATGACTTTTTTCTTAAATCATCTCAAACATAGACATCATGCTGAATTCTAAGAAGAAATTGTTGACCGCTTACATATGTTAGCAAAACAACTTCAGCACTATTAAGCAAAAACAAAAAGATCGGGAATGATTGAGATACAGAGCCCTGGTTGCCTACATATGTTAGACTAGAAATGAAGCAAGCCCAAGTAAGGAGATGAAGACATATGAATTGAAGCCACTTCTCAGATGAAATCAACAATACGCATGAGCCAAGGGGTAAGTGTTACTAATATTACAGCTCTCCAATAAATGCTGGAACATTAAATTTTAAAATATGAAAACAAGTTGTTTTAGAAAGCTAAAGGACAAAGACTGCATTAACTACTTCAGATTATTTTCTGAGATGCATTTCACAAAAACACTAGTGTTCAAAAAACAAAAACTCCTACATTCTTTTATCATTTAATCTTTAATTGCTTCATCAAAAAAGTGGAAGGGGGAGCTGGGGAGATAGCTCAGTAGTATAAGCACTTGCCTGGCAAGCGCAAGGGCCTGAGTTCAATCCCCAGATCTAAAAAAAAAAAAAAAAAAGTGGAAGGGTCACTCATTGCATATTGTGCTATATGCAAGACAATGTGTGGTCAATAGTTAGCCCAGGAGACAGACTGGCTATCAACAGCATGCTTATAGGTTAAAAGTAAAAGTTTTATGTGCAAATAAATAAATAAGCAAAGTAACATTTGCTAACAAAAGTAACTTTATGTAATCTATTTCAGGGGAAATTCAGCATGTGAAGTATTAACTCTCCATCTCTGTGACAAATTTCTCTTTGTTTCTTTTTGTATTGTAGAGAAGGGTTTACAGGGTGTTCACGGTCTCACTATTAGATCAGACTCATAGTGATCCACCTATTTACAGCCTCCCAAGAGTAGCGATTACAGACCTGTGCCACTACACCCAGTCTCAATTGCCATCTCAGTGCACCCCAAAGGCAAGACCAGCACTGCATGCCCGGGGATTGAACCCCCAGCTCCTGCTCCTGCTTGCAGGTGCTTTAATCCACTCAGCTATTTAGCCAGCCTCTGTGACAAAATTCTTGACACAACTTAAAAGGAGGAAATGTTGTTCTCAGCCACCTAAATTTCTTCCACTTAAAGAAATTTCTTCCATTACCTCTCAATACCACTACAAACCATCTAGCAACCTATCAGTATATAGATCTTAGGAAGGTATTAGAGATTCAAACTCTAGCATCAAGTAATAATGTCTTCAAGTACAGACTCATGATCAGAATTTTAAAGATAATAAACATTAACGGGTAAATTAGAAGGAAGAGATGAACACTCCAAGCAAAGCACACTTGTTTCCTTTATTTAAATGTTTTATGACCACAGTGAACTGAAAGTCCTGCTGATGAGCAGCTGACCCATATGCTCAGACACTTTCTGGCATGCTCCTAAAATATCTTAGTCATTTTCTCTTGCAATCAGCCCTAATTAAGAACAAAAAATTAAAGGAAGAACTGAAATATGAATAAGACTAAATGATTTATAATGACTTTTAACAGCCTGTTTTTCATATACATGAGTATGTGTCCGGGTTATTTTCTCATTGCTGGGACAAAAATACCTAACATGCACAAGCACAGGAGGAGAGATTTATTTGGTTTCACAATTGGTAGAGGTTTTAGTCTGTATAATTAGCAGGTTCGGGGCCAGGGAGATGGCTCAGTAGAATAAGAGCTTCCCTGGCAAACGCAAGGGCCTGAGTTCAATCTCCAGTTCCACAAAAATAAATAAATAAATAAATAAATAAATAAATAAATAAATAATAAATTACAACAAGTTCCCAAGCAGGGAGGCATGGCAGAAGACATGGCAGAAGAGAAACAGCTCCCGCGTGGTGGTAGGAAGCAGAGAGAGGAAGGGAGGAAAAAAAGGAGAAATACACTTTAGGCAGTGCTTTCAGTGAACTTCCTCTGTACATCACAATTGCTTGCTTGGCTATTAATTAATCAGGGGACTAAAATGCTGATGCACAGCATGCCCTGTGGTCTGACTGCCTTCCAGAAAACACACTGGTGGCACATGAGGCTTTGGGTGGCCATCCAGACATGTCTGAACACATCTGTATGTGCATGTGCACATATAGAAATTGTGGCAGAGCAGTGAGCCTGTAGACATCATACTATTTTTAAGCTATTACACCTGGAATTTCTTAATTTCAAATTATTAGAAACGTTAATTATGCATAAAACACGCTTCCCTATGTCACTGTACAGTATGGCAAGTACTGTAATCAATGATTATCAAATATAACTGATATTTATACTTGGGTTTTGTCTGAAGTTTAAAAAATATTATGAATTTAAAATACCTCATTCTTATGGTAAAATTTAGATTTATTAAACCCAACTGGGCTTCTTTCCATTTATTTCAAATGTAAAATATGAGTCATTGAGAAATTCCAAAATTGGCTTGAAAGCTCTTCTAGATAGAATAAAGGCAATAGAAAGAAAACACACAATATTCTTTTTTTGCTTTTAAACAGTTATGATGAATTATCAAATTTAAATCAGATAGAGCAAAATTCATTTGAATGGCATCCTATTTTTAAGATCTGTGATTTTTTTCTCCTAGTTTTTCTATGCCCGATAGGACTACTGAATGGCACTGAAAAAATCCTAATTTAATATTCAGTTTTAAAGAAATATGATGTGATTATTTTTGACATTGAAAATAGTCTAAAACCTATCACTAGTCAGCAAAGACACACTTTCCAGGACAACCTTAAACTTTTTTTTTTTTTTTTTTTGCGGTACCAGACATTGAACTCAGGACCCTGCACTTGCCAGGCAAGCACTTATTCTACTGAGCTATCTCCGCAGCCCTTGTAAACTGTTCTTCAGTGTTATACTTCCAATTTCCTTTCAGTTCAGCACACTGGAGAGGGGAAAACAGAATCAAGGAGACCATTGTCCACTTCTTTCATAACAAGATATGAAAATCAACAATTAAAGTAGAAGGTAAGGTCTAAAGGGGGAAATAAAGTAAGGAGGCTGGAGAACAGAAACGGCGTGGACCCTGTACTCCTGTGATCAATTCATGGATTTCCACATTGTAGCTCTGTATTAAATTCAAATCAGATTGAATTATGTTTCTTTAACAAAATCTAAACTTGTAATCATGAAACTTCAATGTCCCCACCAATATTATTTTTCAACTTATGTAACCTCATTTTGTACTTTCAAATCCTTGTTCATAGTTCATCTACTCACTCAAGGTAGCAGAAAGTCACATGGAGATAATTTTCTTAACTTAATGAATTTATAGTTTAACTAGTTATTGCACAATTAATCAGAATTACTTGAAGTTTAATGACCTTCCATGGTGTGTGTGCCGCAGCCATGAGCCTTAGAGGATGACTAGAACCAAGTTGTTTCAGTTTAAAAGCAATCTCATTCCCCTTGCCAGGCCCTAAGTCACCAAAGAAAATTTTCAATTTCCGCCCTCAAGATTTGATGAAAAATTTTCTGAGGTGGAGCAACTGTTTGGAAAAATTTTCTTTATTCTAAAAACAATGCCAATCTCTTTTTCTGAACATGGTCACATAAAAAACAGGGCCACGGTCTTATTACCATCTGAGGAAATAAAGGATACAGGTCCAGGAGATGGAAATAAACCATCTAATTTGCGTCAGCACTGAAGTTATTGATCAAACAACTCATAAACCAATTTATCTTTG